AGGATAGGGAAATCTTTACAGGGATAGGAGAATCTTTACGTGTTGACAAGGATAGGGAAATCTTTACAGAGATAAGAGAACAAAATCTTTACAATGAAACGATAATCTTTTTCATTGAAGTGACGGCAATGTTTGCAGGGATAGGAAAATCCAATCCGTGCCTAAAACTGAGTATTCTAATCTGCCCAATGAATTGTTTAAAACTGACTATCCCTTGCCCTAATATCAAACCAATAATTTTCATCAACAATTTATATTCCCTGCACTTCATCTATTTAATGGATTGTTTAAAACTGTGTATCCTTCATCCTTTCACCTACCCGTGTTCACCTGCCCATTAGCGTGTTTAAAAGTGAGCATCCCTTATCTTCTCACCTACCCATTAGCGTGTTTATAAGTGAGCACCCCTCAACCTCTCACTTACCACTTAGCGTGTTTATAAGTGAGCATCCCTCACCCTCACCTCTACCTATTGGCGTGTTTATAAGTGAGCATCCCTCACCTACCCATTCGCATGTTTAGAAGTGAGCATCCCTCAACCTCTCACTTACCACTTAGCGTGTTTATAAGTGAGCATCCCTCACCCTCACCTCTACCTATTAGCGTGTTTAGAAGTCAGCATCCCTCACCTACCCATTAGCGTGTTCACAGGTGAACATCCCTCACCCTCTCATCTACCTATTGGCGTGTATATAAGTGAGCATCCCTCACCTACCCATTAGCGTGTCTATAAAAGAGCATCCCTTACCTACCCATTAGCGTGTTTATAGGTGAACATTCCTCACCCTTTCATCTACCCATTCGCGTGTTAATAAGTGAGCATTCCTCACCTACCCATTATCGTGTTTAGAAGTAAACATCCCTCACCCTCTCATCTACCCATTAACGTGTTTATAAGTGAGTAGCGCACACCTACCCATTAGCGTGTTTATAAGTGAGCATCCCTCACCTACCCATTAGCGTGTTCATAGGTGAACATCCCTCACCCTCTCATCTACCTATTGGCGTGTATATAAGTGAGCATCCCTCACCTACCCATTAGCGTGTTTATAGGTGAACATTCCTCACCCTTTCATCTACCCATTCGCGTGTTAATAAGTGAGCATTACTCACCTACCCATTATCGTGTTTAGAAGTAAACATCCCTCACCCTCTCATCTACCCATTAGCGTGTTTATAAGTGAGTAGCGCACACCTACCCTTTAGCGTGTTTATAAGTGAGCATCCCTCATCCTTTCATATACCCGTTAGCGTGTTTATAAGTGAGCATCCCTCACCTAACCGTCAGCGTGTTTATAAGTGAGCATCCCTCATCTTCTCATCTACCCGTTAGCGTGTTTATAAGTGAACATCCCCCGACCTCTCATCTACCCATTGGCGTGTTTGTAAGATAGCATACCTCACCTACCCATTAGCGTGTTTAGAAGTGAACATCCCTCACCCTCTTATCTACCCATTGGCGTGTTTATAAGTGAACATACCTCACCTACCCATTATCGTGTTTATAAGTGAGCACCCCTCACCCTCTCATCTACCCATTAGCGTGTTTATAAGTAAGCATACCTCACCTACCCATTAGCGTGTTTATAAGTGAGCATCCCTCATCTTCCCATTAGCGTGTTTATAAGTGAGCATCCCTCACCCTCTCATCTACCCATTGGCGTGTTTATAAATGAACATCCCTCACCTACCCATTATGATGTTAATAAATGAGCATCCCCGTTCATCTCATCTACCCGTTTGCGTGTTTATAAGTGACCATCCCTCACCCTCTCATCTACCCATTGGCGGGTTTATAAATGAACATCCCTCACCTACCCATTATGATGTTAATAAATGAGCATCCCCGTTCATCTCATCTACCCGTTTGCGTGTTTATAAGTGACCATCCCTCACCCTCTCATCTACCTATTAGCGTGTTTATAATTGATCATCCCTCACCCTCTCATCTACCCGTTAGTGTGTTTATAATTGAGCATCCCTCACCCTCTCACCTACCCATTAGCGTGTTTATAAATGAGCATCCCTCATCTTCCCATTAGCGTGTTTATAAGTGAGCATCCCTCACCTATCCATTAGCGTGTTTATAAATGAATAACGCACACTCTCTCACCTACCCATTAGCGTGTTTATAAGTGAACATCCCTCACCTATCCATTAGCGTGTTTATAAATGAATAACGCACACTCTCTCACCTACCCGTTAGCGTGTTTATAAGCGAGCATCCCTCATCCTTTCATATACCCGTTAGCGTGTTTATAAATGAATAACGCACACTCTCTCACCTACCCGTTAGCGTGTTTATAAGTGAGCATCCCTCATCCTTTCATATACCCGTTAGCGTGTTTATAAGTGAGCATCCCTCATCCTTTCATATACCCGTTAGCGTATTTAGAAGTGAACATCCCTCGACCTCTCATCTACCCATTGGCGTGTTTATAAGTGAGCATACCTCACCTACCCATTAGCGTGTTTAGAACGGAACATCCCTCACCCTCTCATCTACCCATTAGCTTGTTTATAAGTGAGCATTTCTACCTACCCATTAGTGTGTTTATAAGTGAGCATATCCGTTCCTCTCATCTACCTATTAGCTTGTTTATAAGTGAGCATCCCTCACCCTCTCACCTACCCATTAGCTTGTTTATAAGTGAGCATTTCTACCTACCCATTAGTGTGTTTATAAGTGAGCATACCTCACCTACACATTAGCGTGTTTATAAGTTAGCATTCCTCACCCTCTCACCTACCCATTAGCATGTTTGTAAGTATGCATCCCTCACCTACACATTAGCATGTTTATAATTGAGCATCCCGCAACCTCTCACCTACCCATTAGCGTGTTTATAAGCGAGCATTCCTCATCCTCTCACTTACCACTTAGCGTGTTTATAAGTGAGCATTCCTCACCTCTCACCTACCCGTTATCGTGTTTATAAGTGAACATCCCTCTCACCTACCCATTAGCATGTTTGTAAGTATGCATCCCTCACCCTCTCATCTATCAATTAGCGTGTTTATAAGTAACCCTCACCCTCTCACTTACCACTTAGGGTGTTTATAAGTGAGCATCCCTCGTCCTCTCATTTACCCATTGGCGTGTTTATAAATGAACATCCCTGACCTTCCCATGTATGTAGCTTTGTGAAAACGCATGTCCGCGTTAAAGTGTTGTCATGCACATCTGACCGGATGCACGCACATTCTACGGTACATATTATTTTACAGCAAAGGTGCAGATTCAATCATTTCGACTTTTTCTGAAATACAAGTATTCGTTGGGAGCAGGTCTATTGTATTCTATAAATAGGTTGCATCCTGGAGATTTTGTTAATATTTATTTTTTTGTACTGGGCAGGATGAGTGCTCTCCCTTGTGAATTTCATATAATCAGGGACGTATGATAAGCGTCCATGGCGACTTTGCAATTATCTACATAATTTTTTTCCCTTAAACACATAGTTTTACTCAAACTGTACGATCATAGTAGTTCATTTTTTGTTTCTCTTTTTGTATAAAATATTCCGGTGTGTTCTCGCGATAAATCACATCGTAGAGACAACGGAGTTATCCCCCTTCCTTTGAAAATCACAGTACTCTCCCCTTAGCCACATATCTTTAAAATGGAACCGGCGTATCATTTTGGCTTACGTAGAATCAGTACTTGAGACAACTTCAAACAAGGGAGATGCATTTTCTGATCATGTTTTATAGAATTTGATTTCTTTAAAATATTTCTATCTGTATAATTTCAAATAACACTTAAGTCATACTTTGTCCGTGGGTTTTACCATTGTTATAGAAACATATCAAATGTCTTTTTTATGAGTATATATCCATGCTCATCATATATATCCTAGAACAAAAATTATTATGCGTGTGTAAGAAATGTGGACTGAGTGGTGGATATATGTTAACCAAATGATAGACTGAATGCTATAAGATCAACAGACAAGATAAAAAATTAAACAAATAACTATTTACTAGTTAAAGTTTGTACCAAGTCCGCATTGAGACAAGCAACATTAACAATGAATAATAGCCGGAGTGAAGAGCGCTAACAGCCAAATTAAAGATTAAAACCTGTACTTGACTTCACACTGGAAATGTTAGATAGCAAATGCTTGTACACTCAGTAGAGGGAGAGACACACGGTTTTAATATTCAACTTGCTTTGTTTCCATCCGAGCAAAATAGAGAATACATTTCTTGTTTGTTTATGGGGCTTCTTTTCCCGTAAACATCCAGGGTCACTTCAAGGTGGTGTCTCTTTGCAGCAACTGGTGGCTACCTCACTTGACAACACACGGGAAGACCGTCTAGCTCCCGAAACAAACCACTCACCAAGGATCATCACAGGAAGTTACGTAGGCCAACAGTCTAAACGACTGAGCTATTGCAGCCTCTTATGGCGAACTTAGTTTAAACATGAAGACCACAGCACATGAGTCCCTTTGACCCATATAAATGGTAACACACGACAAGCAGACTTGAGTAGAGGTCATCATAAATTATCTACTCTGGTGTAAAGGTCACAACACATGATCTACATGACTGCTGTGAAGGTCACCACCCATGATCAACATGACTAATGTGAAGGTCACCACACATGATCTACATGACTGATGTGAAGGTCACCACACATAATCTACATGACTAATGTGAAGGTCACCACACATGATCTGCATGACTGATGTGAAGGTCACCACACATGATCTACATGACTAATGTGAAGGTCACCACGCATGATCTACATCAACTGATGTGATGGTCGTGTTATCTACTTAACCAATCAGTATTATAACACCATGTGCAATTTACTAATATAATCATTGTCATGAATTGATAGTCTGAGTCACTGTCATTTATAGTCAATGAGCTTTTTTTTTTTCATAGTTTGATATGGTTATAGTAATGTAAAGGAAAGCAGTGTAAGTATGGTAGTGCTTAAAATGTTGATATTCCTATTATAGTAGCAAATGAATAAACAAGACAACATATATCACAAAATTATTTCATTTTTAATACTTTAGTTTATCTTCTGTTGTTTTTCGTACAAAAGTATAGCAGAAAAACAAAGCTCCATTCAAAAAGTATAAGGTGATTGGCTGGACCTGTACAAGAGACTAAGGGGACAATGGGGGCTGTAACCAGGTACATCAGGGGCACATAACCGGGAATAGTATGGGGAGGTAACTCCATCAAAGCCATCTCAACTCTTAATGTACAACAAACTCATAGCTAACATGAAATATTAATAAAAATAAACTTTATCCAACCATAAACATACAACTCCACACATTTCAGTGGAAACAGGTGTAAGATACAAGCAGTGTTTATACCTAGACAGGTTGGTTCTTAGTTGTAAATGTGACAAGTCATACCCTTAGCCTAACATATTAAAACATTTGTCAATATTCATTATCAGTGTTAATGACAACTTCTTCAAGAAAAACTATTTGAAAACATGTTCCTATTAACTTGTGTTATATTTATGTATCTCATTGAAAGAGTGATTATAAGAGTATCCCCCATCCCTCCCAGAAAATCTATGTACGTTGTATACAAAATTAATAGTTCTCGAGAGTAAACTAAGTACTTCTTATTATTTGAAGATCAGATGATGCAGAGACAAAAATGCGCAAAAACTTAACAAAATTACACTTTAAAATTTTACTGGTTAAAATCTTAATGTTCTGATTTGGCTGCAATATCAATTGACGAGGTCCTTTGTAACGAAATATTCTTCAATGATAACGTGTGAACATTAAAGTAACGCCTTCATTAAACACAAAGATGTATTCTGTTAACAGCAGAAATACAAAAGGTAATTTGCATATTCAAATTCAGCACCGATACTTCTTTTTTCTTTATTTCTGCAGATTGTTATCAAGCATTACAGAGACTCTTTAAGACATGCAATATACAGCTTGCAAATAACTGAACAGATTTTACAATGTGTTCATATCTCTTAATGTCAAACACCTCTTGTTCAAAATTACATAACCAATTCATGTTCATAACAAAAAACCTAGAAACATTTCAAAAACTGACAGTCACAGCTGTAGGCTTGTATTGTCATGTATAAAAAGATTAGACAGAAGTTTTAAAGTAAGGCAAGAAAATCTGCATCAATTTGAGGTTTTGTATCACATACATTAAACTGTAGCACTACATAATTACCAGTAATACTGGTCTCTCATTATGTCAGTAAGAGTTATGTCCCTTTAATAACTGATCACATTGGTGAACAGACGGTTTGAAATTAATATTATCAAATTATTCTCCTTTTGAAAATCAATACTTTGAAAAATATTTGAAATTAATGAAACCACAAAACAGAACACACAAATAACATTTTAAAATGGTTATCAAATTTAAAATCAATATTAAGATAAACATAAAAAATGACTACTACAAGTCAAACTCATTTCATCAAAAATGTACAAAATTGATCTAAACACATAATATTGCTTATTTTCACAGCAAAATATTTAAAACAATGTTACTCCTAAACAGTATTTCAATAGTAAGACTTTCTCATAATTCTTCTTGTACCTAGCAGTACATTATAATAAACTTTCATATTTGGCCACAGAGAAATCTATTGCATACTCGTAATCAAAACATGTAAAATATTTCAATCAACAACATTTCATTAATAGGATCATTATCTCCTAAAAATTAGAAATTTGTATTTTACACTCTATAAACATGCAACTTTCACTTTTCTCATTGAAAAAAGACAGATAAAATTTGATACAATTCAAATGTGTAAATCTAGATTTAAATTTGTATATCTTTTAAATAAAATAATTTGTCATCAACTAAGCAATAGTGACTATCACTGCCATGACTGGACGCTGTTGTGTGTATGGACACCATCTGGATGGAGGGCTGTGAGTACACACAAGGCACTAAGTGATCACAATTACTGGCAACACAGTAGACAGTTGATCAATATAAAATGTTTCTAATTAAAAAATCTTTAATCTTTTTCCTAAAAGTTTTATTATAACCTGTTCTAGATGTATTTTTGAAAAGTCAGCTTGTTGATGTTCAAAGATTCCACCATTTGTTTTGAGAAGTTTAAAACTCTCAAATTCTGCATAAATAAAATGATTTATTAATGGTCTTTTATGAAGACTGATGATAAAAATGAATAAAATGCACCAAACGACGACCATTTCATCATATATATATTAACATTTCTGATAAAAATTCAAATGTGTAGATCAGCAACTTGGGTGAATATGTACAAAGATCATACAGCAACATGTGTTAATTATAAACATTTCAATGTTGTGTGATAAATTACTAGAACACTATATCATTTTACAACATTCCATATCTTATTTGAAATGATTGCTAATGGTTTAGAATACAACACTTTATTCCATTCTTAGATGCCTAAGTTCATATATGTCTGTCACATGAAGATAAATTAATTCTAAGGACACAGAAAATGCATGACATAGGAAAATTAAAAAAAAGTTAGAGGGAAAACAGATTATCAATGGTACATTTATACAACTGTCAGAGGTAAAAGTCTTTAGTTTAGATATAGATGATATGTAGTATATGACATTTAGATTTAAAAACAACCTTATATATTTATACAACTTCACTTGTAGTCTTGAAACTACCATATGTAAGGTTTTAATAGATTCAATCTCCAAGAGAGTGAACTTTTGTTCAATTTAGAGTGGTTAAGGTTTTGGGATCGTATCAAATAGTTCACCAAGTTACAACATTACGATATATATATAATCACAAACATCTCCTGTAGCTGAAAATGAAAACAACTCTTTCTGAAATATAAATGTGATAGTTTTGTGATCTGATGGGCGGACTATTTATAAGGCAGTTTTAAATAACATACAAGTTTACAAACATTCAGTAAAAACATCTTATTAAATTTGTGTTGCAAGTTTTAAGACACAAGAGTATAAAGAAGAGTAAAACTTCCTGCAGTAATATTTTTAAAGAATAAACATTAAGAATGGACTAAATAAGTAAGGATGTGCATATATATCTACTGTATTAGTACAAGCACTGTACATCCTTCATGGTATAGGTTTTCCTGAAACAAAAGTATAACTTGGTTAAAATCAACTTTGGTTTTATATAATTTTTCTATGAAATACATAATTTGTACCACAAAGTGATAAAGACATCAAAAGCTAAAACTAAATCAATGTTAAATTACAATGAGTTTAACAATGGTCAGAAAAAAGTTCAAAGTCGAACTTGAATTAAAATTCTAATTTTTTCACTTTCATAAAAATGATATTCAAGTTGAAAATCTTAAACATTAACATAAGCTTCATAAAGTTAAAGTGCTTTTTAAGTATTCAGTAACAATATTTTACCACAATATAACTTTGTTGTCCTAGGCACCAATCGTCTGAATGAGTAACACTTCAGTTTTACTTTTTTCCCATACATTTTGAACTAATTCATTCTTAGATGTAATTAATCAGGACTCATAATGAATTCCATTTTTAAAAACGAGGCATAAGAGAAAATATTTCCAGACTGAATACCGATTCAAATCTTTGGGTGTTTCATTGCGGAGTATTTCCCTGATTGATGTGTATAAAGTATATATATGTGCAGTTTCCCATGTACAGCATTTCACATGGTAAAATCATGAATTCACAAGACTATACATGAACTATTCTATCTTTTCATGATGTAGAGTTATCTGCTCTTGTGAGCAGGTGGTGATTGTATCATTTTTAGTTTATACAAGAAAATCTTGTTGTTTTCACAACTCCTGTAATAATCAATATCTGCTCACAAGAGCAGATAACTCTGCATTAGGAAAAGACGAAACAACCCTTTGTTAATCTAGTGAAATGAAACAGAAATTTGTTCTCTTATCACTCTTCAGTAACAATGCAGGAAATGATTTGCTATCTTTAAATATCTAAAACTTGGGGAAAAAAATCCACTAGGTTAAAGCTAATCGCCACTGAAACCACTACATTAATATCATTAACACTCTATCTGATACTTCATACACTGGCTAGTCAGTGTTACAGCATACCTATCATCATAATCTTAATCAGTGCTACACCAGGACTTCTATCAACATGCGACTCTGAACTTCTCCAATGATCAGTTTATATATAGCTTCTGTCAATACACTGGTATTCCTCTTACCAATGATAAAACAAATGTTTAATTGAAAATGAATTATATTAGATATTAATTAAAAGTACATGTAATTCTTTAAGAATGATGAAAATCAATGTTTACATTTTGTAAAAGAAAATCCAGAAGAGCGGTGTGGTTGAGTATACCCAATGGGTACACCTGGTGTGGTGAGTTATACCTTGTGTGGTAGGGTATACCTGAAGGGTACACCTGGTGTGGTGAGTTATACCTGGTTTGGTAGGGTATACCTGAAGGGTACACCTGGTGTGGTGAGTTATACCTTGTGTGGTAGGGTATACCTGAAGGGTACACCTGGTGTGGTGAGTTATACCTTGTGTGGTAGGGTATACCTGAAGGGTACACCTGGTGTGGTGAGTTATACCTGGTTTGGTAGGGTATACCTGAAGGGTACACCTGGTGTGGTGAGTTATACCTTGTGTGGTGAAGGGTACACCTGGTGTGGTGAGTTATACCTTGTGTGGTAGGGTATACCTGAAGGGTACACCTGGTGTGGTGAGTTATACCTTGTGTGGTAGGGTATACCTGAAGGGTACACCTGGTGTGGTGAGTTATACCTTGTGAGGTAGGGTATACCTGAAGGTACACCTAGTGTGGTAGAGTATCATTGGTGTGGTGGAGTAAACCTGATGTGGCTAGGTTCACTTTATGTAGTTGAGGTACCTGGTGTGGTTGGGAGTACCTGGTGTAGTTGCATATATTTGCTGTAATCTGGTTGACTAAACTTGATCTGGTTTGGTTTACCTTGTGTGGTTGGGTTTACCTGACAGGTATGATATATTTAAGTGTTAGTTAAGTATGGTAAATCTGATATATTATGGTAAATTGTACACATGATAAATCTGAGATCATAAACAGGTGAAAAGTCCTTACAATACCTAATACATAGTCCTCTTTTAAAGCACCGTCATCCAACATGTTTGTTAAAAATAACATTTTCTTTTGTAAACAAATCAAACAATAATATTCCATTGTGACTTGAATATGCATAAGTAACCATTAATAATCATGAATTCAAATGATCTCATCAATATTCATACACTAATTCTCATGATAACAAATAAACTACAATAACATAGGCCTCCTTTGCCATCTATACAATCAATGCTAACAAAAATATATCTATTTGATTTTATAAAATTGGTGGGAGGTCTACATGTCACTTGAGCCAAATTGTTCAAATCATTGTTAACATACTGATGTAATATTTTTTTTTTTTTAAATAAACAATAGAATTAGCAACTGTCTATAACAAAATGTCTGTAAGACATGACTAACCTGTTCTCATTCATACAAGTACTAATTTATTATTATTAATGTTAAATAAATTTGCAGAAGTTGCCATATGTGACCTTTGACCCTTTAACTTTGACCTAATAAACAATCTTATCTAAAAATGATCTTTAACAATTCTTTTCTTGAGAAAAATTGTTTGGGGAATAAAATGTTGTAAAGTTAACAATGCTTCAAACAACTGAGCCCCTATGTAATAACAGTATGTTGCCTTCTTGTGACATTACACATTATATGTGTGTATAATTATTGCATCACAACAAAGTAATGGATCATCGTTGATCAGATATCCTTATGTAGGAACCTTGTCACTGGTAAAATATCTTCAAACAGAAACCTAATCACTGGCCAGATATTCTTACACAGTCCCTGATAACTGGTCAGATATCCTTATGAAGGAACCTCATCAGTGGTCAGATATCCTTACGCAAGGACCTTGTCACTAGTCAGATTTCCTGATACTGGAACCTCATCACTGGTCAGATATCCTTACACAGGAACCTCATCACTGGTCAGATATCCTTACACAGGAACCTAATCACTGATCAAGATATCCTCAGGCAAGAAGCTTGTCATTGGTCAGATATCCTTCCGCAAGAACCTCATCCTTACACAGGAACCTAATCACTGGTCAAGATATCCTTACGCAAGAACCTTGTCACTGGTTAGATATTCTTATGCAGGAATCTCATCGCTGGTCAGACATTCTTCAGCAGGAACTTCATTGCAGATATTCCTACACACAGACTGAGTAATTATTTTTCCATAATAGACCTATCAGCTTGTAGCTTACATTTTACAACCTTTTATAAAATGATTTCTTTGATATAATTCTGCGGTTTTTGTGATGGAAATACTGTTTGTCTGTTCCCAAGGTGATTGGAGAGCTCTGACAGTGTCCAGACTTTGGACTTGGAAACAGAGATATGACCCTACCTTATCTTCCTAACATGTCTCAAAGGTCACCAAGACATGATCTTCCTCAAAGGAAAGACAACCTTCACAATTCTACAGGAAGTAACTAGGAAATAACTCTGAACCAATGTTTTTCAGATGTTTCTCAACAAGAAGTCATGAGGAGACAACTCTGAAACAGTCATTTCTGACTGTGGCACTTAAATGCTGTAGTTAAAGTGAAATGTTCACTAAATGTCCATATCACTTGAGGTGGTCAGTCAGTCTTTGACCAGTCTGTATATGTGGTGCTGCGCTCCATGCTCACTGGTCGACACCTCAAACACGTAGGCTGTACATAAAAGCGTCTCCTGCGTCTCTCTGTTGCTAACCACCTATACATGAAGATGTATCTATTAGCAATCTCTTTAAATTTTAACCATCTACGTGTAATAACAAATGCAATATAGAAAATAGAGCTTTCTTGTTGATAAAGAATATGTTAAAGCTGCATTTTTAGTAGACAAAAGAGGTCACTTAAACTTCCAATACTAACTAACCATTTTGATATTTTAAACGCCAAATTGTATGAAATTTTAAGTTTTGCCATGAAAATTAAATGGCATATTTTTTTTATGGTAACACAGTACATCTTAAATTATTGCATATATTTTTTTTAATATATACACATGAAATTTAGTCATAGCATACATTTTTCTCAAAATTATAGCATGAACATTTTAATGTCAAGCAATAGAATAAAATTTTAAGCTGCAGCAACAAATTTGAAGTGACGTTTGAATTGAAGCAAAATATTGGTGACTTCATGACAAATTACCATAGTATCAATAGTATCTAATGCATGGATACTAAAAAAACTCACCTGTAGAATCGTGAAGTTTTCCAGAACACTGTTCATCATGTATTTTTCAGGTAAGTGTTTAAGTTTGTGGATAAAGTTGATCATGTATTCACACATGGGAGACCTGTGAATTCTGTACACGAAACGACCACTCTCAAACCGTGGATATTCTGTCTGTAAACCCAGGCAATAAAGAGAAAGATAGAATCAGTGTATGGAGTAAGTATCAAAGGTGTAAAATTTTGACACACTCATCATGTTCTGTTAATATATGAATAGGTAGCTAATATATTTAAATACCTCATAATGATAATGTTTCAGGTAAAACACCTGATCATCTTTACAAATAAAATTTTAAATACAAAAACAAATACAAAATATATTCAGCGGGAGACGAACAATTCACAAGATTGGTATGAAACATACCGTTAAGACATTATGATGTATAATTTTCTGTTAAGGATTATCTAACCTACCTCAACTTTTTCAACGACCTGTTTCCCAAATGAACACACTTTGGTTGAACATGTGATGGTCATGTTGTCACTACTCTCATACTGACTCGTAACTCCATAAAATGCTCCAGCCTCATCCTGAACATTTGTATTGATATCCGCCTACAACATAATCAACACATAACTACAAAGCATAGGCAAATCAGGTAGATAGGCTTTTGTAAGTCTTCTTAACAGTATTTTCAAAATTTTTTATGATGTCATAAATACATCCACTCACACAATGTAAATCATTAAACTTAAACCAGTATCTCAAGGGTAAAAATGTTTGTGGATTACACATATTTATACTTATAATTCTGTCACCTGAAATATTATTCATTACACCTTTTTTCACACTTAACAATTTTTTTCATGATTTAAATGTAACAATATTTTCATGGTTTACCTATAATGATTTTTTTTTCATTGTTTATCATTTACCTGTAACAATTTTTTTTATGGTTTACCTGCCATTTTTTTTTTCATGATCTACCTATAACAATTTTTTCATGGTTTACCTTTTACCAGGAAATTTAGCAAACTTTCTAGACAAGAAATATTTCATGTTATACAGTAATTGAGAGAACATTCTGCTGAACACTTAAATTTAGATCCACTATATAAATGCCTTTGTAATGTTCATAATCCTTGAAAGAACAATAGGATCAACATTTCCATGACGGTTAATCTCAAGTTTTTCCCCCACCATAATTATGAATAATTCTGACAACAATTTCAGAATAAACATAAAAGTACAACATAATATATATGTAAACTTACCCAGAATTTCACGAGGAAGAATGCTGACTGTGGTCCTTTGTCATACAATTCTTTCAACCCACCCTTTTTCTCTGGAAATTTGTCATAAATCTGTCGAATGTCAATAGCCTCCAGCATGGGATCAGAATATGTCGGGTTTGAACCAATGTGGACAAATAAATGTTTGTTGTACTGCAAGAGGAAAAAAGAATTAGTATGGCTGAAACTGGTAACCACCTGTCAAAATGTCATATTCAGCTTAATATAATTTTTTTCTGTTTGTTAGAATCATCACTTCATTAAAAACCAGAGTAGTTTTTAGGCAGAATATCTTTGCAGTAACTGGGGAATGGGACTCCAGGTGATCCTTCTTTTTAAAATTCAGCCAATTAGATTTATCAAAATTTCTTACTGAGTCTGGATCTCTCTGCTGTTCCAGGAAGGCCGAGAACTCAACGAGACGAACTTTGGGCCCAGCTATAGAGCGCCCCTGCCATGCTGGAGCAACCATCTCATTGTTCATGGAGTTTGGTGGCTTGGCATCTATGTAACCAGATGCACCAAAAGGGGGTTTCACACTGTAACACAAAGAATTAGCCCCATATATAGTTACAGTCCCATTTTCTTTGAGGTACTTTTTATATTGTTTTACACTTTTCACTTAAACAGCTGTCAAATATTTTGTTTTCCTCAACCACTAAAACAAAAGAGTCCATATGAAGCTCCACAAACTTCAGCGATACCTTATGTTTCCTAACTTCAAAAATATTGCTACAACAAAAGTGCCAAATTTCTAGGAGATGGTGCTGGGTTGAGCCAGTAAAGGTAGCCATGAGGCCTTGTTGATAAAGAAATGTTGATAAAAATGAGAGATTCTGGAGGCATTACATGCATAATGTCCCATAAAAAAAATAGCCAAGATGGCAGATTGGTATTACCAAGCTTAAACATGACAGACATATATATACAACACTCCAACCTTCGCATCTCTAGTTTATCACTATCAATACAGGTCTGTTGTGTACACAACTCTCCAACCTACACATCTCTAGTTTATCACTATCAATACAGGTCTGTTGTGTACACAACACTCCAACCTACACATCTCTAGTTTATCACTATCAATACAGGTTTGTTGTGTACACTCCAACCTACACATCTCTAGTTTATCACTATCAATACAGGTCTGTTGTGTATACAATTATCCAACCTACTCATCTCTAGTTTATCACTATCAATACTGATCTGTTGTATATGCAACACTCCAACCTACTCATCTCTAGTTTATCACTATCAATACTGGTCTGTTGTATATACAACAATCCAACCTACGCATCTCTAGTTTATCACTATCAATACAGGTCTGTTGTGTACACACTCCAACCTACACATCTCTAGTTTATCACTATCAATACATGTCTGTTTTGTACACAACTCTCCAACCTACACATCTCTAGTTTATCACTATCAATACAGGTCTGTTGTGTACACAACACTCCAACCTACACATCTCTAGTTTATCACTATCTATACAGGTTTGTTGTGTACACTCCAACCTACACATCTCTAGTTTATCACTATCTATACAGGTTTGTTGTGTACACTCCAACCTACACATCTCTAGTTTATCACTATCAATACAGGTCTGTTGTGTATACAATTATCCAACCTACTCATCTCTAGTTTATCACTATCAATACTGATCTGTTGTATATGCAACACTCCAACCTACTCATCTCTAGTTTATCACTATCAATACTGGTCTGTTGTATATGCAACACTCCAACCTACTCATCTCTAGTTTATCACTATCAATACAGGTCTGTTGTATATGCAACACTCCAACCTACACATCTCTAGTTTATCACTATCAATACATGTCTGTTGCGTACACAACTCTCCAACCTAAACATCTCTAGTTTATCACTATCAATACAGGTCTGTTGTGTACACAACACTCCAACCTACACATCTCTAGTTTATCACTATCAATACAGGTTTGTTGTGTACCCTCCAACCTACACATCTCTAGTTTATCACTATCAATACAGGTCTGTTGTGTATACAATTATCCAACCTACTCATCTCTAGTTTATCACTATCAATACAGGTCTGTTGTGTACACAACACTCCAACCTATACATCTTTAGTTAACCACTATCAATACAGGTCTGTTGTATATGCAACACTCCAACCTATTCATCTCTAGTTCATCACTATCAATACAGGTCTGTTGTATATGCAACATTCCAACCTACCCATCTCTAGTTTATTACTATCAATACAAGTCTGTTGTATATGCAACATTCCAACCTACCCATCTCTAGTTTATTACTATCAATACAGGTCTGTTGTATATGCAACATTCCAACCTACCCATCTCTAGTTTATCACTATCAATACAGGTCTGTTGTATATGCAACACTCCAACCTACACATCTCTAGTTTATCACTATCAATACAGGTCTGTTTTGTACACAACACTCCAACCTACACATCTCTATTTCATCACTATTGGTACTGGTCTGGTAAAACCCAAATGCATTTCAGATTGGAAACACAAACAAACCTAGGTAGAGATTAAACACACCTCAGATCTTTAGTCGAGGCTGCCAGGTCCAATGTTCTACTGACTGAGCTATTATTGTCCCTCCTTTATATATTGAGAGTGAAGACATCAAACTTCATTTAGAATGCACACTTTCTACCTTACCTTGTGTTTTATTGCTATAGTTATAACTTATAACAGAAACTTGTGATGACCATATTCAAGAAGGTTACACACATGTGTGATACTACAAGTGAAGGTGACACACAACCAACACACTCAGTCACAATGGTGTTTGGTATTTGTTACACACATGTAAAGACTGTAGTTGAGAGTAAAAGTAACAAACATGTCATATCAAAGTAAGGGTCACAGGTGAAGGTCATACATGTAAGGAATGTAATAATGGCTAAATGTGAAGGTCACACACGTCATGACCAAAGTAAGGGTCACAGGTGAAGGTCACACATGTAATGACTGTAATAATGGCTAAATGTGTAGGTCATCCACAACATGACCAAAGTAAGGGTTACAGGTGAAGGTCACACATGTGTCATTCCTAACCACACCTATTTACTATGGTGTTACTTACTCTGCTTGGGGTCCAAGAGAATTCTGATGCCAAAACTGAAACATCAAGGACAGCAAAATAATAAATAAAACTAAAACCTAAAACATAACAACTGAAAATGAAAAACATCAATTAATATCAAAAAATTAATAAACATGCAAAAATATCAGTTTATACTTTAAAACTTGTCAATACATGCACCGAAATTTTCAAAATTAATTCATAATTACAGTTTTGAGCTGTGACAATTATAAGTGGTGAGGAAAGACCATTTGAACAAGGCTGTAACAATTAAGCTACAAATATCAGGTAAGTATAGGACCAAATTAAGTCTGCTACACTTGTAAAGATGTGCTTGTTCATGTCTGCCAAAAGGTGCAGCAACTTTCATTTCTCAGCTAACTCATATATCTAAATCAAGACTGCTAGATATTTGTGGTTAAAACACGCGTAGGACAAGATAAGAAAATATACTCTGACATATCAACAATACACTCATGCATGGGGGAGGGAAAGTATGGTTGAACTCAACACATAAAATTTTAAATTTAAAACATTAATGCAAAAATAAATTAATAGAAGGATGTAATGAATTAATTAATTGTTATACAAAAAATGACCATATCATAACTTCCATCTAGGTTGGTTTCATTCATGTCTGCATTAAAATTTGATACAGCAATGGTTTCTAATATAATGAAAAGTGAAATAGTATCCATGAAAAAACTTCATATAGTCTTTCGGTCCCTGTTCTCTTTGTAAGTTATCCAGCTCCCTTGGTCATAGATCAAATTAAAGATATACTTAAATTACAACAAAAATCAACCATGCATTACCTAGCATAGAAATTACAAAATCTACTATGTTTAAATGATAACGTAAAATGTTTTTATATATTAAAGAATGAAATTTAAACCATGAAATGATGAAGAACTACACTAGAGCATTCTTATGGCCATAACCCCATCTGTGACACCAGCAACAGTAGTCAAATACACCTCAAGTACAGTCAGCTGGCATTGTCTCTTCCAATTCTTCATTTTTCACATAGTTTCCACCCCTCTCAATTAAATTCAATGCTTCAAACATTTATCCTGATATGTTAAGTTATCATGAAATGATGATCGGATACCATTTGAACTTGACACAAGTCTTCCCTGGTGCTACGACAAATCATTTGTCTTTCGATGATGCCTAAAGCTAGAATTAAGATGGTACATGCGAGACTAATCTAACACTCAAAATAACCTTGTGACCATCGATGTTTTAGAGGTTCAGATAAATCCAAAAGATACAATTGATAAGAGACAACAATAGTAAACTCCATTGTAAACACATGATTCAAATGATCAGTTACTGTAAGTTATAGAAAGTTTACTAGACCATTAGGAACAAGACAATTAAGAATCAATGCGTCTTTAGCATCCCTGGTGGTAGGGACAACACACGGAGCCTTAAAGATTATTTTCAGTGGTGGTAATGACACAATTAGTATGAAGGAATCTCGTTTAAAGAGGCTATTTCAGGGGTACGTATGACATAAAGAACCTCGTTCAGGCTGGATTAGAGGTGGATATGACATAGTCATTGGTCTTTATGAAGATATGATGACGAGCCTTGTTGAGTGTACTTAGGAGGTAGACAAGACAGCTGTTGAGTGCAATGTGGCCAGCTATGACAGGATGGTAGAATATTTTACCTGTGGTCCCCCGGGGGAGGGGTAGGACGGCCTGACCCCTCCCATATTTTGGACGATTCCAAGCCCCTGGGCTAAGGCCTTGTTGTGTATAGCACTAGCGGACACTATTTGGGCAGAAGACATGGAGGCCATGCTTTGTAGGGCTTTGTCCTTGGCTGCCTGATCCTGCATAGGAATAGTCTGGTAAACATATTAAAGCAGATGGTTAAACCAAGAGGCAGATATATAGTTTTATACAGGGGTGAACATGCAACCAACCTACACAACATACTCTCCATCAAATAACTCACTGTCAAGGATGTCTACAAGACTGAAAACATAGAAAAACTTACGTATTGTTAAATTGTATTGTTTTCACATAACAGGCCAACAAGCAATATACATTTAGCTCCACCCCCAACCCCAACCCCCTTAATCATGGTCCTAAACAAACTTTCAGAAGATGAAAGCTTTCATTTTTTTCCTTTAACATTGTCAGCAATAAACTTTCCAAAAACCCAAAAACGCTTGACATATGAAGTCATAATTCAGGGGAAAAAATCTGATAATTTCAATGCAAATTATCTAAGAAGACAATGTTGGTAGCAGTGCTGGTGTATACATGTGTAGAACACCATACAAATGTTATACCAGATTTGCAAATATACTAAATTACAATCATGCTATAAACATGAACAGTCCACAAAATGATATACTGTATTGATGTAAAACCATCTTTCACATTACATACTAAATAAAAAAACAAAAATAGTAATTGTGGAAAAGTACCTTATTTAAAATTAACATTAACAGAATTATGTTTGTGCTTGAATTCTTAAAGCTGTCATTTATCTATAAGTAACTTTGGAGTAAAATGGTACTTTAGTATTAAGAGTACTGACAATGAAATACAGAATCTAATAACCAACCAATGAAACAGAAAATATGTATCCTAGTGATCTAAAATTGATCTGGGATAAGTTGTTTACAACCTGGCAAAACTACTAATACTTTTGAATTTTTTATGTAAATAAATAATTTTTATCTTAACCTGACAGATAGATTTAAAATATTGAATCTGAAGTTCTCTAACCAATGTCGGACCCATCACAGAAAAAGGCAAAAAATATTGAATCTTGTTTTTCTAATCTGAATATGTTGTTGTCCCTTCTTGAATGCTTGAACTAAAATTGTACCAATCGCTGGTAAATTTGAACCAGTACAAGTTTTATGAAATATTGATGTACATATATAAAAAATGAAGACATCTGTATATCTTATTGAAAATTGTCGTCATTCAGTCAATTTATTCTGTCAGTTTACAATCTAAACCATTTGATGACTGTTAGTATTAATTAAGATTTGCACTTCTTAACTTTACACAGAACTTGATGTGTTGAGTTACAAGGGGTATGTATAATATTCCTGGGGCACCTGTCACTTGTAGGCCACCTGATGCTTATTTTGACAGGTAACACAGGAAATACAGACGTGCACTGAATATGAAATCAGTTGATTACAGGTGGAACAATTAAGGCTTCTATTTCATGCTAATACAGGTGATTCAAGCATCATCATAAATGTTTGTATCAACTAGTCATACAACGAACATTTATGGGATTTGAAGTCTATATTCATTCATAAAGTTTAACAGTTTCTACGCATCAAATTTAATAAAACAAAACACTGTAGAAATGATGAATTACCATAAAGGGATGAAGTTTTGATGAAAAGTTTACTAAGTACAATATATAACAAACAGAACGCGCAGTAAGGCATTTAAAGTTGACACTTGTCAGGTTAGATCTGCACTTAGATGGCTATACACATAAAAAAAAACATGCCAATTTGTCTTCACAGTGATAATCATGCTAATGAAAACATGTATTATCTTGATAAAACTCCACAATATCAAGCCATTCATATATGGTTCTAAAAATTACCCTATAAAACAAACTTTTCTTAACTGAATATTTAAGCATGTCCTGTATAAAAAAGATATTTTCTAGATCTCAGTATAAATAATTTGAATCTACAGCTTCAGATTATGTTACTACAGAAATATTGGTAAGATTTAAGATGTTTCTCCACATGTAGTCCTATATTCAAGGTCACAAAAATGTTCTTACTTTAAAATGCACAGGAACATATCAATATCTGATTGCTATAATCTAACTCGGATAACAGAGAATTGGTTGGATAGTCAGAAGTATTAGTCGTTTAGTGAAAGAGAAACTGCTATACAACACAAACATTAGAAAGGTTAGTAGTTTCTCCCATCTCCCAAAATAATAAGTCACTTTGATCCGTACATGAGGTACCTTGAGTTGCGCCTGGATCTCTTTGGCTTTTCGGCGGGCAAGCACTTGTATATGGGACGACACCTGTTTTCTGGTTCTTGTTTTTCCAGTTCTAAGTTTGATATATCTGGCTATTAATTCATTTCGTCCTGTAAAAAAATCAAAATGGAAAGCTTCATGTAAACAAATCATTGAATCATTGGTCTTCATTTATTGTCTTTAACATCTGTCAAAATTCTATCCCATAATACCTTGATAATGAATGTAGATTTGAGCATACACCATATGGTTTAATTCTATCATAAGTCTGGCACACCCTTATAGAGAGAGATATATACTTTGTATCACTGAGCTAGCCTCCAGGTGATATTTTAATTACATGACAAATAAAGATGCACATCTGTCACAGAGTTTGTATTAAAAGTAAAATGCAATTTCTGATTTCTTGATGTTATCAAGTATCCTACTTCTATTATTTTATTGTTGCTAATTTTTACTCTCTTCATAACCATAACCATACAGATAGTATTAACTGGTCACCAAGCCTCATTTAAACAAGTGGAGGAAAAGATAAAAATAAAGTTTATTTTTTATCTGACCAAAATCTTTATACCACATTTATCCAGCAATAAGCCCTAGCATGTTTATTTCTTTTCAGTCAAGATTTAAAGATATACAATTGAATTGTTCTGCAATAAGCCCCTCCCCTACTTTAAATAACAAGTTAATGTGATTGGGCTCATTACAGGATAAATATGGTACAATATACTGATCGAAAGGAGGTAAAATTCAGACACAGCCCCAACATTTACATCCAAAGATCAAAAGTTTAAACAGGAAATATGATACAAAATTACATAACTGACATCTGCATTAAATTTGTTATCAATTTAGAGATATAGGTCCAGTTTGGAGTATGATGAAACTATGGTATACAGCCTCCACAGCCTGTAGGAGTGTTTCATTCACTGAGTGGAAAGACAAACTGAGCACACATACAGCTAAGTCAACAAATTAAATAGTGGCAGTATACTGGCAACATGGTTCTACTACTGACAAATAATGGTAGTATAATAAGATTTCACAGAATAAATGGTGGCAGTTGTACAACAATGTTTTACTGGACAAATGATGATAATGCTGAAAGGTTTCACTGAAAAAATGGTAGTAGTGTAACAAGGTTCTAACCATTCTTTTAGAACTCTATACCATTTATAGGTCACCGACAAACTTAGTATCTTTTATAGGTCACTTACAATCTCTATATCATTTATAGGTCACTTACAATCTCTATATCATTTGTAGGTCACTTGCAAACTTCATAACATTTATAGGTCACTAACACACTTGGTACCAATTACAGGTCACCAACAAATTTGGTACCATTTATAGGTTACTAACAAACTTGAAACCAATTATAGGTCACTAACAAACTTGATACCAATTATAGGTCACTAACAAACTTGATACCAATTATAGGTCACTCACAAACTTGGTACCATTTATAGGTCACTAACAAACTTGAAACCAATTATAGGTCACTAACAAACTTGATACCAATTATAGGTCACTAACAAACTTGATACCAATTATAGGTCACTAACAAACTTGATACCAATTATAGGTCACTCACAAACTTGATACCAATTATAGGTCACCAACAAACTTGGTACCATTTATAGGTCATTAACAAACTTGGTACCATTTATTGGTAACAAATTCAATATCATTAATATGACACTTACAAACATAGTGAACATATATATACATCATTTGAAAATTCATTTCTTAAAATTGCTGCTTAGAATTGGGTTTTTTTCCCTTGCTTTTGAGCAATGATTTTGAAAAATATGGTTCAATTTTAATTTGCATTAATCTGATAAGTAAAACAGAAATGCAGTCATTAGAAATGTGTTGGAATGTTCACATTTTTATTAATTAAAGCAAATTATTTAAATTTAAAATGTTTTCAAATAATATTTTTTTTGTATTCAGATGCTAACTAGTTACAGTAAGTCAATGTCTGGTTTGACCATGGCCAGACACAGGATAGATTATTTCAGTGACCAGTGTACACAGATAATCAATAGCTAGGTTCTAAAACAAGTGAAGCCTGTTAAGGTGTTTGGTAACAATACTATGTCTGTGTCGACTGAAGGTGACACCCTGCCATGCCTATCAGGTACCTGTCCCCTATCTTGTGTCTGTAATCCTCCCTATTAGGGATTGTCTGGGGACCAGATAGTTACCCAAGCGACACATGCAGTCTACTACCGCTGGCACACCCTATCTGTTTTAAAATCTGACTACAATGACAAGTCTCGTCAATGCTGATTGAATGGCGATACCATATCCTGCTATTTTCACACAAGAAACTAAATGAAAGCATTTGACTCCTCTGTTGTCATTTATCTACCAAGCTGTTTCCTACATAGTGACCATTACCCTCTAATAACAGGTGTGTGATAGATAAATTAAAGCACTTGTTAAAATAAATCAAGAGAAAACTTAAAATCAAAGTAAATGCAATTACCTGTACAATAAAAGTAAACACACGATAATGTTTGGCTGTGTACAGGAAGCCAAAGACACAAAAAAAGTTTGTTACAACTGTAAGGACATTAACTCCTTCTTCTAGCTAGACTGCAGATTTAAAGTGTATCCCTTTTAAAATTGAGTGTTAAGTAAAATGTCACTGTATGATACATGGTGGCCTGAGGTAATTTGTGTGAGGTGTCTACAGCCCTCTCTGTGTACCTTGAGCATACATAACCTATCTCTGTAGGCCGCTCAGCTTAGTCACACCAATGACTCACGGTCTTCTTTTGGAACATTTTACACCCCTATACAAATATCACTTCAGCCATGTTTTCTTTCCATGTATTTCATTCAGTTGTAAATGTACTGCTAAGAACATACATGTATTAATACTCTATTTGTAGAAACAAGAAAAAAACCGCCAATGTCTTGTACTGACTGGCCTAACCATGATTACATATAAAAACTATTTCTATACTCTTTATCGTATTGAGTTACAATGACCTTTCACCCTCATTACCCCTGGAGGAACCTGGGCAAAAAAAAAAAAAATCTGCTGCCTTTCAGTTGTGGATTAGAGCAATACAATGAACCAATTAATTACAGTATTCAAGTCATTTTTATTGAAAAAAAAGAGTTACCACTTGTCAGTTTTGATGTGATAAATGACTTTTCCTAGGTAGTCAGGCATATTAGTGTATCAAGTTTTACTCCAGGATCCAGTATTAATTTTATGTTTAATTCATTGTTTAACCTAAGCCATTGATTAAGATGATTTCAAAAATGTAAACAGTAAACACAGTGGTTAGACAGGATAGGTAATATAATATGATAGTGGACAAGCAAGTCGGAAGGTTTATGTAATGTCTAAAAATAACAGGTTTAGTCAATACGCCTACTCAACAAAACTTTTTGAAAGACATTAAGCTGGAATAAAATCAGTCTTAGGTTTTCTTTGTGACTTTGGAATAATAAAAACCACAATAGAACAAGTTAATATCATTGGGTTTATCTTGTGAGGACAGAGAGGTTCTACCAGGTCTTTTTTATCGAAATAACAAATTTGAATGTTAACTTAATAAGGGAAAAAAAGGATCAAGTTTAAGAAAATCACACAATAACAAAATCAGTGTTCCTATAATAAGCAGGCCTTGTGAGTGCCAGTGTCTCTGGTACTTTCTCTAAACAGAGATAATAATGGATCTAGGTAAAAATATTTCAGGTAAATTTCTACTTCATTAATACAGAGTAATACAAATATCTACAGTTATCATAAAGACTTAAGTACATTTTAGTGTATGTAATAAAGATATCTTAAGGCCTAAACAGGCACCTTTATAGAGTTATACACAGATATCCTATGCCTCAAACAACACCACAGTGTTATAGATAGATATCCCCATGTCCCAAACAACATAACAGTGTGATAGATATTTCCATGCCCCAAACAAAATAACAGTATTATAGATAGATATTCCCATGTCCCAAACAACATAACAGTGTGATAGATAGATATTTCCATGTCCCAAACAACATAACAGTGTGATAGATATTTCCATGCCCCAAACAAAATAACAGTATTATAGATAGATATTCCCATGTCCCAAACAACATAACAGAGTCATACAAAAATATTCAAGGCAACAACAGATTTTTGGGAGTGTAAATACATTCTCTGGTTAGATAGTTATTGACAGATTTAGGGATCATTTTTTAAATAGACATGAGAAATTGAGGGGGTGGGAAAGCTGAGGAGTAGCTGAATCATGAGAGTCTTGTCTGAACCAACAAGAGTGATGGGTATTACGTTTATTGAATTATTCTAACTGAAAACACAAAGACATCTTTAGACCACAACAGACCAGATTACAAGATATGTTCAAATTTCAGGATCTTTGGAAGTGTCCATCTCACCTGTGGCACTATCATCACTACATTTCAGGTCACAAACATCAAACAATATCACACATAATTCTTACCTGGACATACAATCCTAGATCATACTAACTATTGTTTAATCTATCTTTAACATACATCAGTTCATTATTCATAAGGTATACAAATGTACCCCCACCAGCAAAACTTAAAAAACATATAAACAAAATAGGCTGTTTCTATTCCCCCACTTGTGGCCCCGTGGCACAGATCAGTGACTGTGTATTACTTTAATCCTCCTTTGTATATTTAGTAGGTACATTTACCTTGAACACATGGTTTGTGAGCCAACAAATAGGTAACCTTATTTCAGGTTAAATCTATGTCACCTGGTGGATGTGGTGACAAGTAGTGTACCTGTTGTGTTCTATGTGTATCTACACTTCCCCATGCCAAAGCTACAATAGCAACAATTTCAAAAATGTGAAAACTCCCCTTCCTTAATGATAATCATTTTTAACATACCTTGATTATATATCAACACCAAGCTTGTGTTTACATTTTGTATGCCTTGTATTTTTTCTACATGTAATAAATGAAAACTAAGACGTATAGTTTGATTATCTGATGTGTGCTCAGGTCATACAATGGCTCTCTCTGTTGATCAACAACCATACATTTTATCTCTGTCCATCCCTACCATACATTTTATCTGTCAATCCCTACCATACAGTTTATCCCTGTCAAACCCTACCATACATTTTATCTGTCAATCCCTACCATACAGTTTATCCCTGTCAAACCCTACCATACATTTTATTTCTGTACATCCCTACCATTCATTTAATCTGTCAATCCCTACCATACAGTTTACCAGTCAATCAATACCTTACATTCTACCCCTGTCGATCAATACCATACATTATATTTGTCAATCCCTACCATACATTTTATCTGTCAATCCCTACCATCATTTTACCCCTGTCAATCCCTACCATACATTTTATCTCTGTCAATCCCTACCATACATTTTATCTGTCAATCCCTATCATACATTTTATATCCGTCAATCCCTTCCATACATATTATTTCTGTCAATCCCTACCATACATTTGACCTCTGTCCTTCCCTACCATACATTTTATCTGTCAATCCCTACCATACATTTTATCTGTCAATCCCTATCATACATTTTATATCTGTCAATCCCTATCATACAGTTTACCTGTCAATCCCTTCCATACATATTATTTCAGTCAATCCCTACCATACATTTGACCTCTGTCGGTCCCTCCCATACATTTTACCCATGTCGGTCCTTCTTATACAATTTAATGAACAATCCTTACCATACAATTTACTCATCAATCCCTTTCATACATTTGACCCCTGTTGGTCCCTTCCACCTGTTGGTAAAACACTGAGCATTCAAACCTCAGGTGAAGCCCTGGCTTGTGTGGTTCAATCCCTACCCAGGGTGATTTGCATTTTTTAGGAGGCAAAGATCATGGACTGTCTGGAGCATTCATGGTTGTAGACATTTACCCTAATTGCTCTGGATAGCATTTGGCAGGCCTCCTGCATGATTTTCAGTGAGGTACCCACTAGCTGCTACAAGGAGACCTTGCCTGAAGATGACCCTGGCTATTCATACACCAATAAAACCAGAAAATAACACTCTTTCTCCAATTAAAAGATGCACACATATATATACATTGTCTTTCAATTGATCTTCATTTTCTCTCCACCATCCCACGAGTACCTTACATTGTTCTAGTGTTGAACTGTACAACAAATATTTCTGTGATTGATATCTTACCATACATTTTGCCTTCATCAGACAGAATGATTTTTCGTCTGCCACAAGGTGGGTATATGGCAAGTGCTTCCTGGAAGCTCTGTTCGATGTCTGGTGACCACACTCCCTCAGCATCATTTGACAAATCATCATTGGACGGACTATCTGGGTCCTCCTCTGCCTTGGTCATCCCGCTAGCTCCTGCGGACAGGTCATCATTGGACCATGTGGAAGTCATCTGCCTCTCACCTGAGATAATCACAAATTGATGTCAATTATTCCTCTATCATAATTTACAGGTGTCAATAAAATGTTGAAAAGCACATTACTTTGTTAAAGAGTTGAAATATTAAGGTCATTTATAAGTTTATCACATGAGATGATTTAAAGTTTACAATAAGCAATTTTGATTATTTCTATATCCGTTCTTGTAACATATCGCACAGCGGTCAATATAAATATAAGTCAATTATGTGTTTTTTGTATCATAATGTATGTAACAAAATTTGCCAGGACATAATTTCATTTGCTGTTATGTCATATATGCTAAAATTCCCAATGAAATGAATATATTTTCATAACTCATAATGTTTGTAGATATACAAATCAATATCAGCCACTAGATAATAAAAAGGTACCTCATACTTCATTTCGAGATACAGACATTAATATCAAACATTTTCAGAGATTTTTTTCAGACTCTGATTCTGAAATACCATTTACTAATTTAAAACTTGTGTTGAGTTTGATTTTCCAACCTCTCCATTCTAGCAAAGGGAGATAACCAATATATTGACAGATGCAGCTTCACTTATTGATAAAAACAATATCTAACTGTACATTTCTATTGTAACTAAACACTTAAGAATTTCAATAAACACTTAAATATCATGATTGCTCTCCTAAATATAACCTGTTAAATATAAACAAAATTCCAATCCAGTTTTTATCAAACACATATTTCATACAGTAAACAAATAGATTTTTTTCTGCCTTTGAGTTGCAAAAAAATTGATGGTTAAGATGTTGTGTTAATGGCTATGAGAACAATATAGGAAAACTGATACAGAATGAACCAAGGATGGAGTGTCATTGACAGGGACATTATTCTAACAATATGGACTTCATTCAGCTAGTAACTATGCTTAATACCATGTCAGTAACAGACTTCAGAACTGATGACCAGTCAAGATGTCTGAATAAAGATATGATGTCATATCGTTAGATGTTTTCATGGGTTTAATTACCTTTCATAGCCTTATTGTCACAAAAGAAAAATTGGCCATTTCAGCAAAACATTGGACAAACTACATATAGAGTGCTATAAATTAATGATCAAATCCTAAACCATAGTGCAAGACCACTGCCTAAAATCAAATTAAAACTCATGGACAAATATTTATGAATGGTTCCCCATTTGAAGTTGTCACTTAAGGATAAATCCAGTAACTCAACCATGAGAATGATTCAATATGCCATATTATGAAATATAAAAGAGGGGTTGGGGATAGGTTCCTGCAGATTATTATTACTACAACAGGAATTGAACCCAGGATTCTGGTACAGGTTTCAATGTCTCTACAATGCAAAGAAACGAACTTCAATAGCCATGCGAGTGACAAACCATAATTATACAACATACCAGTCCCATCAATCTGCTTCCATAAAAAAATTTGAGGAATTAATTGCAACTTTGTAGCATTTCCATAACACAAAAAAAAATCAAATATATTTTCACTTAAGCATGCCTTATATGATGTGATTCTGTGTATCATGGATTGTGTTGGACTAAAAGCATACAATACTTTCAATATTCTTCATCCGAATGTACCAATTAATACACCAAGAAAGCAAATGTTCATTATCAATTAAATTTGTTGTCAGCAGATTTTGTCTGATGTTTCTTTATTGTAGAATCTCAACAGATATAGTTTTTGTATATTTGAATATCATTTATTTTACTCAAATACTACAAATTCTGATTAACTGTTATTTCATAGCTAAAAGCTAACTTTCTAGTATTTAATGTTAACATAAACATCAATTTGCAGGAAGTCATCAGTGGGTTTAAGATTTTATGATAATTAGACTGTCACTTGATACTGAAGATTCAAAACAATCATATATACTTTAGATAAAATAATAAGTACACTCAAAGACGTCTTTTGTCCTGTTACATTTATATTTATATGCAATTAGAAGTTGTTACAATGTATGAAAATATTGGAGACATGTAATAACTTAAATCTGATGTCCATTTCTTATTTGCATATTCAGTTGGTTCTTAACCGTAAAAACAAAAAGAAAAAAAACATTTTGTGTCATATTTTATAAATATCTAATAATTCATAAAAGTCAATTACATTTAATTATTAGAAAAAATAAACATCTTATATTTTTTTCTTTCCTGTTAACGAAAATGCTGATATCAAAATAATTAGTATTGCAGAGGCTAAATTGAGTAAATTCAGTCTCTTACTTTCAGTGAACACCTTTTCCTGACTATGAGATCGGATATTATTTTAACAAAGACAAAAGTAAATTATGTAAACAAAGCAGGTAGCATATGACAGATATGAGACGTCTTATCTAATGTCAACATGTCACATTAATATGCCTACTGAAGATCATGTATACACCTTCATCGCTCAAAATTCTCATTTCTATTAAGTTTTCTAGCAATAGAATTACGAAGACGTAAACCAACCTCAAAGTAACGGTACATGCACTACAGTTTTCAATAAAACATTGGCCTAAGCTTGCAGGATACCCCCAACTCGGGACGAAAATGGCGTGCTACGATCACGGTGTTTACCTGTTTCAATCATAAATTGAAACGAGCGCAAGTGTAGAATCTGTATGTATGAACCTATATATATTAGACATTATTTGAGTCATGAAAAAGTCATACAACTAACATCATTCTAACTAACTTGCCAGTCGGACAACTGACCCAACCCGCGCGAGCTGTGTTATTCCTCCTGTGCCTGAATGTGGCCATATTCAACAAGCTTACCTCTCTACCGTAGCGCCATGCACAGTTTTTGGGTGCCGAATGTAGGTCACCCTCACCCTCCATAACAATTCTATCATGTTGAAACAACAATTTCTCGAACATGCTGTACCGCCACAGTTGACAATCTGCACAGTTCTCAAATGATTCTCCAATCACCTGGCAAACTTTGCATTGGCCGGAAGTTGTTCCTAAAACTATGACAAATATTCGAGGGATTCAAAACCCGTACCGACATTTTAGCCATGCCGTAGGAATACCGGCCATACTTGACAGAATTTCGCCAAAACACTGGCAAATCACACAATTACTTACCTGTTTATAACTTATCCAGACTTTCAATATACTTTTTAAGTTAAAATTCAAAATTTAAACTCAAAAAGGACACACTCCGTGGTATGTGTGGAATGGCACAAAGAATCTAGACAACGTAGGTGACAGCTGCGCATATACTTCGCGCAGGGGTGGACCTAGCCATCAATCAGGAGAAATATATGCGCGGGTTTCTTTGATTTTACTTTATAAATTTATATGAGCGTGAATATTAGCAATTAATAGCAAGTTCTATCAAACATAATCATACTTATACTATTTAGTAACTAGTAATTCATTTATATTTTTCTAAAGTTTGAAATAATAAGAAATTGCGACACACATATATTAAATTCTCCCAACCTACAACGTGATTTTTTCCCCCTGGACACTTGTGGCATGTGTTTTCATTTTACGCGGTTTGTTGTGTTCTGAGCAAGTAAGGAATGACTCATACCGGCGGGCGCTACAAGTTGCAAAACTGCACTGCAGTCCAGATAATTCTACACACCTTTAAAACCTACAGTATTCGTGCTTTAGTCGCTCATGCGGTTGTTTTTTTTTCTGACAACGTAAAATCACCTAAAAGTTTTAATTAAAGCTTAGCAGGTGCCCCTTATAGACACGTATATAAACAACACTATAGCAGAGTAGACGTTGTTTATGAATTCAGGATAAAACTTATTGCAATAAGTAGTCATAACATTATTTACTCAAAATATGGGACATATATTTGATTCGTGGCATGCATTTAATTTATGGGAAACATATTTTATTTTACCTCCTCTCTGTCTCTCTCTCTCCTTCTTTCTCCACATCAACAATGATTACATTGAACACAGGTTGATTTAGGTAAAGAAGAAAGATGTTTAACTTACAGATACTTCTATTCTCCTGTTTTGTGCATCTTCTGGTAAAATGTCATTCTATTACTAGAATTTGTTGGTACGGATAATTAAAAAAAAACCAATTCATGAATCAGTGATAATATAGCTGTATATGACGATGTCTAACGTGTGATATTTTCCTTTGTGTTTAAAATTTAATTACCTCAACTAATTTTAGATTTTACTTGTAAAATGTGATAAATAAAAACCCCTTTTCAAAACCTTTATCAGTCCCTCTACATCACGACAAGCAATAACTCCATGACTGACACGAAGTTCAATATTGACCTAAGCGACATGGTCATACGAACAGCCAACAAAAGGGGATTAGTAATATCGTCTAATCTCTCGATATGTCTTGGATAGTGTTGATTGTTGTGAAAGTACTGCAACACCGGTGTTGTGTTACGAGGTCAACCTGCAAGCAGGTTTTGAAAACAATTTAGGAAAGAGAAAAGAAATATGCCGTGCATTGTTATCTAAGTGTCTAATAACCCCCCAACCCCCCACCAAATTTAATTCATTTCTTCTGTGAAATATTGAATGACAATACCAAAGACATCAATTAAAAGTTAGAAGAGGAGGATGGTGGTATACTGATTCTATAGAAGTTTATTTTCCATTATCTGTAACAAAGGTGATACTAAAAGGACAAGAAACAAACGTAAAGTTACTTCAATTATCAAAATTTTAATAACGTAATAGTTATATAAGATACATCCGAGGATATGACTCCTGCACTCATTGAATTTCAGTCGGTTTTTTGCTTTTCTTACAATGTATTGTTCCAATATAGACTAGATTTAACCAAATATATATATATATATATATATATATATATATAAACATCCGGTTCAAACATATTTAAGGCACTCGGAAACCTACAAGGCTTGAGTTACCCTACCTATGTCGTCAACACTGAAAACTATATCCCCGGTATATCTAAACTATACATATTAGCATACACATCCAAGGAATTTATTTAGCCTATGTTACACACACGGAAACTTATAACCAAGGTATATGTAACCTATGTTACACACACGGAAACCTGCATCCTGGTAAATGTAGCCTATGTTACACACACGGAAACCTACATCCTGGTATATGTGTTTTATGTTACACACACGGAAACCTACATCCTGGTATATGTGTTTTATGTTACACACACGGAAACCTACATCCTGGTATATGTGTTTTATGTTACACACACGGAAACCTACATCCTGGTATATGTAGCCTATGTTACACACACGGAAACTTATAACCAAGGTATATGTAACCTATGTTACACACACGGAAACCTGCATCCTGGTAAATGTAACCTATGTTACACACACGGAAACCTACATCCAGGTATATGTGTTTTATGTTACACACACGGAAACCTACATCCTGGTATATGTGTTTTATGTTACACACACGGAAACCTACATCCTGGTATATGTAACCTATGTTACACACACGGAAACCTACATCCTGGTATATGTAACCTATGTTACACACACGGAAACCTGCATCCTGGTATATGTAACTTATGTTACACACACGGAAACTTATACCCAAGGTATATGTAATCTATGTTACACACACGGAAACCTGCATCCTGGTATATGTAACCTATGTTACACACACGGAAACCTGCATCCTGGTATATGTAACTTATGTTACACACACGGAAACTTATACCCAAGGTATATGTAATCTATGTTACACACACGGAAACCTACATCCAGGTATATGTAGCCTATGTTACACACACGGAAACCTACATCCTGGTATATGTAACCTATGTTACACACACGGAAACCTACATCCTGGTATATGTAACCTATGTTACACACACGGAAACCTACATTCTGGTATATGTAGCCTATGTTACACACACGGAAACTTATACCCAAGGTATATGTAATCTATGTTTTACACACACGGAAACCTACATCCAGGTATATGTAGCCTATGTTACACACACGGAAACCTACATCCTGGTATATGTAACCTATGTTACACACACGGAAACCTACATCCTGGTATATGTAACCTATGTTACACACACGGAAACCTACATTCTGGTATATGTAGCCTATGTTACACACACGGAAACTTATACCCAAGGTATGTGTAACCTATGTTACACTCACAGAAACCTACATCCTGGTATATGTAACCTATGTTACACACACGGAAACCTGCATCCTGGTAAATGTAACCTATGTTACACACACGGAAACTTACATTCTGGTATATGTAACCTATGTTACACACACGGAAACCTACATTCTGGTACATGTAACCTATGTTACACACACGGAAACCTATACCCAAGGTATGTGTAACCTATGTTACACACACGGAAACTTATACCCAAGGTATGTGTAACCTATGTTACACTTAAGGAAACCTACATTCATGATAGATCTTAACTATGCTTTATACACAGAAAGCTGTATTCCCTGTATATCTCACCAATGTTATAAACACGGAAACCTTCATCTCTGGTAAATCTTGCGAAGTTGTGAGCCTTACATTTAAGGGTTTGGATTTTGATATATTGCATTATTTTTCAACATAATCCCCTTCAGTATCTATACACTTTTGCCAGCGATGTTTAATGACCTCTATGCTACTTTTAAAGACGTTCTTTTCTTGACCGCTCAGAAAGTCCTCCACTGCAAGTATGACGTCATCATCTGACTTGTAAACAGAGGCATTGTCCTGGTGAAGCAACACACTTTTTTACGGAGTTTTCCGTGGCACTTGGGTTTAATATTTTCTCTAAACGGACTGGGAATTGATGTTTAATTTGTTCCATTGACTGTTTGTTCTTTTCGCAGACAATCTACCATCAGCAGCTGATGGAACAATCTTTGTCTTCTTTGGCGGGGGTGTACCATGGTGGCTCCCATTGTTTAGACTGTTGTTTGCCTCTGGGGTGAAATGATAAATCCACATTTCACTATAGTCACAAATCTCTGCAGAAAGTTAGCAGGATCTGCCTCTAAAAGGCTCAGATTAGCATGCGACAAAACTTGCCTGTTTGTTTTCTTATCAACTGTAAGAAATCTTGGTACCAAACGGACTGAGAGCTTTCTCATTGCAAGATCTTCCGTAAGAATGAAATGTACTCTTTCCTGTTAATTCCCAACTGTACTGGTTATATCTCTCTTTGTAGCTCGCTTGTCAACCATATCATGGACTTTATTGACCAATTCTGGGGTTGCAACAGTGACAGGCCTTCCAGGACGGGCGTCATCCCCATGGCTCTGCCTGCCACGCCTACATCCGCCATCTTCCTTTCCCTGTAGCATGTGAAGATGTAGCGTTCCTTGGTGTTGCTACCATATCAATATGGGTATCCGTAGGTGCTATACTTTTCTTATGCAAATATTGAATCACTGCTCTTTCGGAGATTTCGTCCATTTCTCAAAAGTTACCTGTCTTACGAGAGTGCTACCTCTTCGACATAAACTGTGCAAATGTCACCAGTCTTCGGGTACATAGCCTTAATCAGTCAAGGAATAGTAGAGCTGTTTAACTTCTTCAATACATGGCTCACAACTTATCAATCAGTCGTCGTATGTCCTACAAAGAGAAATCCCCGGTATATCTAACCATTGTTTTGACGTACGGAAACAAACATCAACGACATATCTAGCGTAAGTTACATATCTAACATATGATTCTCATAGAAACCTACATCTTCATTATATTTAACCTATGTTATGTACACGGAAACCTACATCCCCGGTATATCTAACCATATGATTCTCAAAGAAACCTACATCTTCATTATATTTAACCTATGTTATGTACACGGAAACCTACATCCCCGGTATATCTAACTATCGTTATAAACACGGACACTTACATCCTGGTATATTAAACCTATGTTATACACACAGACACCTACATCCTGGTATATAACACCGATTAAAATGATT